CTCATCGTGGTCCAGGCTCATTTTATCATGAACAACATTTTCGAAGGCATGATCTGGTTCTTCCTTCCTGTATCTCTTGTGATCACCAACGATATCTTTGCCTACATCTGCGGCATTACCTTCGGCCGCACGCAGCTCATCAAATTGTCCCCCAAGAAGACCGTTGAAGGCTTCGTTGGCGCGTGGATATGCACCATCCTATTCGGCTACGGCATGACCAATGTTCTTATGAAATATAAATACTTTATTTGCCCCGTCAACGATCTTGGCTCTAACGCCTTGACTGGTTTGGAATGCATCCCAAACCCCGTCTTCACGCCACGGCCATATCACTTACCGAGCTGGACGCCTTGGACAGATTCACCTCCCAAAACCGTCTACTTGGCCCCCATGCAAATCCATATCTTCGTCTTCGCAACCTTTGCATCTCTAATTGCCCCATTTGGTGGCTTCTTTGCCTCGGGACTGAAGCGTACCTTTAAAGTAAAGGACTTTGGCGAATCGATTCCCGGCCACGGCGGCATCACTGATCGTATGGACTGCCAATTCATCATGGGTTTTTTTGCATACATGTATTACCATAGCTTTATTGCTGTTTACAAGGCCAGTGTGGGGAATGTTATCGAGATGGCCATCAATGGTTTGACCGTTGATCAGCAATTAGAGGTTATCCGGGGCCTGAGCAAGTATCTATATAATCAAGGGGAGGTTTCCGAAAATGTAAGCAATAAGAAAAGACCCCCCTTACCCCAACCCCCATTTTTCCTCCTGGCGAATACCTACTTATTACTTTGACCATTTTTTAGATGTTCGAATGCCTCAGCCAAGATTTCCGTGTAAACCGATAGAGATTCGCCTTATACAGCAATGTATAGTTACATGGCTGCTTAATACCCCCCACTCCTCTGAATCATGATCAAACTTCCTCGCCCGCCTAAATCTCCCCAAGAATCGTCTTTGTCTATGAAATTATTGATCCTTACTTTTGTGAACTCCCTTCGCAGATTCCATTTTCTTATGTTTGGCTTTTGATTCAATTCGATTTATTTTAGTATTTTCATGTCGCTTTATACAAAGCCCCTTTTTC